AATAAATAAATAAATAAATATATAAATAAATATATATATATATATATATTTAATCCAAATAGAATGTAGAAAATACAGAGATTTATACCGTATATCACAATTCCGCCAAAATATACAGATATAATTTTTTTGGCCATATCGCCCAGCCCTACTTTGTATTGAATTGCACTAGACTGTTTCTCAATCAAAGAAGGGCAGGGTAAAATTGAGACTGAGAACAGGCATGCTCCAACCAAACAGGTTTATTGTGACATTCAGTTTATGTTCCTGTGGACAAATTGGTCACAGAATAAGCAATGCACACGCACCTCAGCAAGTCGTGCAAACTTCCTCTCAGGTATAACAGGTCGCCTCCACAAGTTGTTAATATTGATGTCGGTTGGAGGTGGAGACATAGGGCGCTCAAGATTATCGTCATAGCTGAGAGCTCGACGGGTCATCCCGACAGGGATGGACATCCCTCCGAGGAGTCCCTCTGAAGCACCTGGACCTGCTTCCAGGGCTGAGGCAAAAGAGCAAAGTACTCTGTCAACAACATCTGAACAAACAGCTACTTCAAAGAGCCACAATTGAATGCATTTAAAGAGAGGAACTGTTGTCATAACCTGTCTCTTAAAGTTATTAAAAATGAAAATTAAAGTATGTTAAAACCCTTGATAAGCCTTCAAAACTTTAATTTTAGGCACTGCACTATAAAATAAACAGGCCTCTCTCCTTTACCTGGAAGGTCTCCAGGTCTGGACACCATGGCTACTGAATGAAGCGTTTCTGTTGGACCAAAAAGAGAAGACAGCCCGGACAAACCCAGTCAGATGGGACTGGATCAAATCTACAGATGAAATTAAAGAAAGGAAAAAGTAACATATTAACCAAGCAATATTTGAGTTTAAGGCCAAAGAACCATCAAACAGCCTCAGATTAATAATTAAAGAGACTGCAATCTCTGGTATGACGTCCAACCCTCTGCATCATTGTGCAAAGGACCACACAACATCATCACCAATTATAGAAAGACTGAAAAAATGGCTTATTTTTTTGTGAATATGTTCTTCTTTTTGGAAGAACATATTCACACCTAGGGCTGGCTGATAAATCAACATCAATATTTATCAGAAAAAATAAATGCACAATATCGATAATAAAATTAATCCAATATTCCTAATCTAGCCTAGTACCTCTAAACAATCAGGTGCATGATGCTAAAATATCTGCATAACATGTATGTTCTGTGTTCTTCTGGGTCAATGAGCGCTACAGTTTCATCTACTGCACATACTCAATCACATGTGATGGCATACTGTATGATGAAATTTGTATGAGGGTCAAAATATTTAAAATGACAATAAATTAGTTTTTGGGTGCTGCACTGTGATCCTTACATAGTCTTTTAAAGGAACACGCCACTATTTTTGAAAATAGGCTCATTTTCCATCTCCCCTGGAGTTAAACAGTTGAGTTTTACCGTTTTCGAATCCATTCAGCCGATCTCCGGGTCTGGCGGTAACACTTTTAGCTGCAGCTTAGCATACGCAGCGCCTGAAAATAGTCCCCAGCTAGGTAACTTCCAATAAGCCTATTTTCAGGCGCTGCGTAATATCATCGAGATGCTAATGGTCTAATCAGATTCAATGATCTATGCTAAGCTGCAGCTAAAAGTGCTACGGCCAGATCCGAAGATCGGCTGAATGGATTCGGAAACGGTAAAACTCAACTGTTTAACTCAACTGAAAATGAGCCTATTTAAAAAAATAGTGGCGTGTTCCTTTAATGTCATCTAATACATTATCGTATCGCATATCGCATTATTTAATGAGTTATCGCATATCTCTTCAATATCGCACAGCCCAAACTCTTACCATGTCCAACATAACGACATCCTATTTAAGACCCCATTTACATCTTTAGTATGTAGTTAGCGGTGACAAATATGATTGCCTTTGTATAAATCTGTCTGCTAAATTAATAAATGTAGATCATGTGGAGGCAATTTAAAGTAACTATGTAAGTATATCGGAGACATTATGCTATTTAAGCAATAATTTTTATAAACATTAATTTCAAGCTGGATGTATTTTATCTACACATTTGACACAAGTGTGTTTTATTAAATTAAATTAAATGCGACCATCACTTACCAGTGAAGGGCGGCCAAAGCACCACTGCTAAAGCACAGACTGATCTTGCTGACAAGCTGAGGTTTGTTCAGACAGCATTGTGGGACACCAGGAAGAGCACAGCCAGTAAAAGACAGAAAGAGCTGGAGAAGAACCAAAACAGCCATTAAAACATAAGGAAGTTTTGACTGACTGCAAGATAAACCAGTTGAGTGAAAAGATACCACATGCCATACAAACTACAAATGCATCTGAACACAGTCTACAATGGCACTAAAGTGTTATTGCAGTAATAATAAAAGAGTGAGCAGTAGTGTCGTGAGAATCCGTGCATGCTGGGAATGGGATTACACCAGCTGTCCTGGTGATGTTCAATCAATGTTGCCAATTTAGCAATTTTGTTGCTAGATTTAGCAACTTTTCAGACTACCCTAGCAACCTTTTTTTCAAAAAGCACCTAGCAACAAATTTAGCTATTTTTAAAAAGTATTTGGCAACTTTTAGCAACTTTTGTAAAGTGACTCAAATGATAAAAAAGGCCCATATTTTCAACTAAATTACACAAAAAGAGGAAACCATTGAACAGCTAGCCAGCCAAGCAGCACATCAACCTGGAGAGAGCTGGAAAAAGATGCCTAACAGTAAAAAAATCAAATGTGCATTAAGTTGCTAGTTCCAATTGGTCAATAATAAATGCACATTTATGATACAGCATGTTATTAGCTTGTAATTGTTGTTCAGTTAGGTACACTGTAAGAAAAAATGTGGAAAAACTGAAAAGGTACTAGTCATTTTCTGCTAGGATGTTATCCATTAAGTTGTAACCCTGTAACCTTAAAACACAGGTAAAACACCTGTAAAAAATAACTACGTATTGTCCCTTCATATAAACATTACATTGTGTCCTATTTTTACAGACTTTTGTGTAGCACACTAACTAACTACCAGTACACTGCTTAAAACTACAATGGTTAAGAATGTGCAGTTCTACTAGTTAATAGGAAAATACATCAAATGTTTAACTGTTCAATAATTCAATTTTGTAAAAAATCCGATCATAAAGATGTGCTACTTATGTTACTTTTACAAATTAAAATATTTTATGTTTATAATATTTTTATGAACAAATAACATTAAAAAAAAAACATTTTTCGCTGAGATTTGAGTAATCTCGTGTATTCTACGTAAAAACGCTGTTTTGTGTCATGGTTTCGCAATGACGTCATCACGCAATGACATCACAACGTCATTTAGCAACCTGCAGCAACAAATCGATCTGCCTTTAGCAACTTCCCCTGAAAATTAGTTGGCAACACTGGTGATGTTATGTAATGCTGCTCACTTTCCCATTAACGTTACTGTGCTACGTCAAAAGCTAACGCACTAGCTTTAAACACAACAGCTCGCTTTTGGTATAAAACATTATTTCACTTAGATTTTTAAGTAGAAAAGGAACAATGAATATTTTACTGAATACTACCACATATTTTAACAAATACGACGACAATTTTTAAATGATATGAAATGAGCGGACTAGCTGTTCAATCCAGTTTCGGCGACCTGAAACCGGTTTGAAGGAGGGATGCGCTCGCGAATCAATTGTTTTTTACCTGCTGCAGTGTTCCCGCGCCTCCTCTACAGTATCTAACAGTCCAGCAGAGGCACTGAGGGCACTTGAAACCTGAATAAATTACATATCGCAGATGTTTGAGAAGAGTTAACCTTTGTATCTACCATAACTTCCCTTTCTTCTTCTGGCTTTTTATGGCAATTGGCAAACAAATAAAAGGTGCATTTCCGCCACCTACTGAGCTGGAGATAACTTCCTTTTCTTGGGGCTGCAGTCCCCGCTCAATCTCGCGATACTTCGGTTCTCAGCAGCTGCTGCAGTACTTCAACTAGGCACACGGGGCAGTAAGAGACCTATAAAGACCTCGCAGCTATGCGAGATAGTTCACCCAAACATTGTTAATTATAATTTACCCATCTTTATGTGGTAGTAAACAGTCATACAATCCCCCCAACACTGAAGAAAACCGTAAATCCTTGGAAAAAATGTAAGCTATATTTTATTCCACCTGCATGAATATCTATAGTTCTCACTTCAAAGACAGTCTTTCAATTCTGCAGTCTTTCTGGTATATTGATATAAGCGTTCAATTGTTTCTGCTCTTTCCGTGTCAACTCTCCTCATCCCCCTCTGTTTTTCGGTGGCAGGACAGGGATGACCAACAGCTGTTATAAAAATGTTAATTTTAATTAGTAATACACAAACACAACCAAATTTCAGTAATGGCACCAAACTCCACACAATTGGTGTGTGATTGTTCAATGATCAGTTTATTTGAAGCTTCAGTTTAGATTATTTATTTTAGCACATTAAAGTGTTTAAATCAAGAAAACAACACAAGGATCACAGTTTTATTTATTGCATTGTTGAATAGCCTATCTTTTAAATATTTAATGCTCTGTAAACTAGGGAGCTGTTTTATGTTTTTATACCATAACTATGTGATTGCATAATTTTATAGAAATATATGCTCTTCATTATTTTGTATATGCGTTATGATTTTTATTTCATGTGGTGTGTAACTAAGGTTTATGGGTGGGGAGGGGACGTGGGGTGTTATGAACCATTCAAGCTCATGTGATTAGAGAGAATAACCACCCCATCCCCCTTGTGTTAATCAACTGTGTCACACCCCCACCCTACACAACACCCTTAATTCGGGGAGCTATAGGGTTCCTATACTGTAAAAATCAAGAAACACTGTAAAAAATGTTAATGTGAAATTACAGTAGTTGCACCTGTAGAGGACAGTATGCTAAACCATAGTGTTCATTAACTTTTTTCCATGGATCAATAACATTTATATAAATAATAGATTCCAAAAGTCATCAAGTTAATAGATTTTGTCTGGTCAACATTACAGCTAATGGAATAGACTACTAATTTTCTTAGAAGACTCATTGTAATTTTTAATATACTTGATGGAACAGGGGGATAAAACACACAGAATTCATACATAAAACACAGACATTTTATTAATTTAAAAAAGTGAAAAAAAAGTACAAGGTTGCTGAAAATTTACAAACAACAAATTTCCTTTTTTCATATAGTGTAATATACCGTTTCTCTGAAATCATTACATACATAATAATTTAAAGAAATGTCATATGCATAATAGAAAATAATTTACAAATTCACATGCAACCATACTAATTAATCTTTTAACAGTAAGACGATCTTAAAATAGTGAAACACCAAATCAAAGCAGAGAGAACAGGATTTTCTGGGTATGTACAAACAGTCTAACATGATAACACTGCAGTTCTACATTGGCCTTTTGCCATAGTTCTGAATATCAAAATGATGTAGGTCAGATCTGTTGTTGAACAACGGTGATTCCTAACCAGGACATTTAATTATTTATCCTCCAACCGGACTATCCAGTTCACTCTAAAGCTGATTTTTGTGCTTGAAAGCTGTTATACCATGCTCCATTTTATTTTAAATTGCACAACAAGGGCCAGAAAACAAACACGATAGCCGTTTTCAACATGACTCATTTTGTCTTTGTTGTCAGAAGGTGGCAGTGAATTATTATAGCTTGCTTCCTTAGCCATTCTGTTGCGAAATACCTACCTCTATTAATGTGAATAAAGAAGCACTTGCTTGAGACATTATATAGAAATAACAGTTGGACATAATATCTCTGAACATATCCGTGGTGGAAATGCATCCTAATCCTAGTTAGATTGTTTGCTGAACCTGTTTCCCAAAAAATCTTGGAAATGTCATCAGATGTTTGATAATATTACAAGGAAGCATGACATATTCATTCTGCATCACAGTAGCTGCCTAATATGCAAATTTGGTAAAACCTGGGTCTTCCCAGTCAAATATAGCTGTGGACACATGCAGTGAGATTCTTATCTGTGAATATTATGAGTATAATGAGTTTCGTATATTAGAACTGCAATTTTGATGATGCTTTTTATTTTTTAAACCTCACCAAACAATGTTAAAGGCATCCAACAATCAATGCATTTATTGATCACGACTGGACATTACTGGACTGACTCAGTCATCATTGACATTCACTGTATCTCTACACTATGGTGTGGTATCGACACGGCACCATCTATAGGGTCACAAATTAAAAAATACATAAAAAATGTATATGCATATAAACCTGAAGTGCAAAGTCATAATTCCACAATAATCCACGTTACTCTAGGTGATATTCAACCTCACTGGAAAGAGATTTTCGCAGGCGTAGATTACTTCTCGGCAATGGCGGGCAGCATGCATGCGCGAATGCGGGCTTCCTTCCATGCGCTGCGGCACTCTGAGATCCAGTGGGACACTATAGTCTGTTTGTCCATGCAGCGACTGCTCTTTCCCCTCCAACCAGCAGGGGTGCTGTCGCGCTTGTTTGGAGTGCAACTGCGTGCAGCCAGGCTGCCTTCATCCAGCTTCTTCCTGCTGAGCGGTGACCGCTGCAGGACCGTCACCGCAGGGACTGTCTCAGGCAGACAAAGCTCTGGGCAGCTGCTTTTCCGCTGGACATCAGGCGCCGAGGAACAGCATGGGAAGGTGTCGCTGCGTGGTCGGCGCGGGGGAATGCTGCCCCTTCTGGTGGAGTGCGCTAGCACACCTCTGTGGCTGTAGAGGTACTCCAGTGGATCTGCGGGGCCTGGGATGTCACCTCTGCATCCAGTGACCTCCTCTGGGGCAGCCTGGGCCTGCAGCGGTTCTGACGGAGCAGATCTGGTGGTCTCTTTCTCTTTATGGGCTTGTTCAACAGTCTGGTCGCTGCTTGTGGAGGTGTGGGGCTGCGGAGGCTGCAGATGCTGACGCAGGCGTTGCAGTCGTAGGCAGGGCTTTGGAGAATCCAAAGGGCCGATGGAGAGGATGTCACAATCGGGCTCATGCAGAGGAAAGGTGGGCCGGGCCAGATGGCAGATAGAAAGGAAGTAGTCTTGTGTGGTGGTGTGCTGGCTGTTGGTCTGGTTCAGGTCCTGCACCAGCTCTTCATAGCCCTCCCTGATGGTGGGAAGGCCGCGTTTAGCCAGTAATCTGGACCTGGGACGCATGACTGTAAAAAGGGAAATAGTGTGCCATTAAATAGATATGTAAATTATGGGAAAGAAAAATCATACCTAAGGTTTCTTGATAATTATTTACAATAAGAGCCTTTTAGTTAACATTAACTATACAATGAGCAATACATTTTCTAAAGTATTAATTAACATTAGTTAGAAAAAAAATGTTAGTTCATATTAGCTCAAGTCCATTAAATTGTATTAACAGATACGACTTTTGACTTAATAATGTATTAGTAAATGTTAAAATTAATATGAACTAAGATTAATAAATGCTTTAGAAGTATTGTTAGGTCATGTTAACTAACATAGTTAACTAATATTAGCAAATGAAACCTTATTACAAAGTGTTTCAGATTCTTAAATACATCAGTTGTTTAAGCAATGAGATTAAATGGAGAGTAAAATAAAGAGTGGTCTTAAAAGTGTCTTAAAATGTGACCTCACATTAAGTCTCTTGATTATCAGACCTTTCTACCTAGAAACAGAAAGGTTTTGTCCTTTTCATCTCAGCCCCTTAAAAATCAGCAATTAACTTGCTCAAAACATTAAAGTTTGTTACATTAAGTGTTATTCTTTCCTCAAATCAGTTGCAGACCAGTCATAGGCAGCATACGCATACAGCAGCAATATTCAGCACGGAGCGCTGCCTCCACATATCGTGTCGTAGACCACTTCTCATCTCTCTGAAAACTGTTCCATTGAAATCACAAATAAAATGCAACAAATACACCACCGTTACCATTACAGTACTGCTGACAAAAAGAACAGATGCAATTTATTAAAGTATATATTTAAAATATACAATATCTTTTAATTTTTAAATAAATATTATATAATTTTATATAATATTGTTAATTATCATAATTTGCTATAAATTATTATTCATATATGTGATATGCTTAAGAATGGAATCACTCATGATATGTTAACTCAAATATTCCTCACCAAATTCCTCATCAAATGGTCTGGTCTATGGTATTAACATTATTATTATATATTCTCTTACTGTTTCTATTTCTCGTCAGGCATTTTAGACAATTTAAGTAGATTCATGAAACATAACTGAAACTCCATTAATTCTCCTGATCTAGGAAAGCGCAACCTCCGAACAAAACCGTTTCCTCCAGGGAACCGTAACAACACATATATTTGCAATTCGCAACCAGGATACAAAATTATTTGGTAACACTTTACCCATTAGTTAACACTAGTTAATGCATTAACTAACAATGAGCAATACATTTGTTACAGTATGTCTTTTTAAACATTAGTTAACAAAAATACAACTCCTAATTGTTCATGTTAACATGGGTCCAATAAATAATATTTAAAAAATACAAATTTAAGAATGCACTAGTAAATGTTGAAATTAACATTATCTAAAATTAATAAATGCATTAAAACTGTGTTTCATTGTTAGCTCATGTTAACTAATGTAGTTAACTAATGTTAACAAATTGTAATGTTAACCTAATTATAAAGTGTTACCAACAGATGCCAGAATACATATACTTTCACTCACAGACCTCTAATCTTCTTTTGTTGGCTTTGACATTAATGACCCACATTATTGCTCCATTCATAATTAAACAGCATAATTTTTGGAGTTGTTATTACCTGCCCGATCATTCTTTATTGATGCACTGTACAGTAAATACCAAAAATCAATGTCTATAATGGGAGGGATTGGTTACAGGAATACGTGCAAGCCCAGTCTCCATGGCAACACCTCTTCCCATCACATCCCAGGCTGTGCTCAGATTTCATAGCTATTGGAAAGCACATACACAGACACACACACACACACACACGGACACGCACACGCACACGTGCACACACACACACACACACCATGAACCAGCTCCTCCCTACGCCCCCACCGCCCCATGCCCAAATCATCTGAACACCCCTCTTTATTGTGGCAGACCAATGTATACAAACCAGCACCGATTCCCACCCTTCCCTACCTGATTCTTGCCGCCTAAACCTGTTTGGATTTTCCCAGCCCTTGAATGCTCGTATACCAATCTATGAAGGGAAAAAACACAATATACTTCAAGATCAAAGCAGGTCTGTCTAACACAACCCATTATGACGGACATCTGGCGTGGATGGCCATTTCTGACAACAACTGATGACATTCAAAGAATCTCTGGCCTTAATCCTCATGAATCAGAGCCTAAAATAGATTCATAATCTATTCTGAAAATAAAATTGGAACTGTGTTATATGTGAAGACCTGACATATGATGTAATCATCGTTCTGGTTTCTATTGAGGCCAGCGGTTTGTGTCGTGTCCCACCTGAGCGGGGTCTCTCCGTCTGCCTGGCTTTGCTGTTGCTTTCTTCTTCTTCCACTCCTCTTGTCTCGTCTCCTCTTCCTTGCTGCTGCCTCAGCTCAGAGCCTCCAACTGCTGCTACACACACAAAAAATAATTATTTTCTCCCCCGTCTCCCTCCCTCTCTCTTTCTCTCTTCTTGCCTGTTTGCTTGCTCGCCCTCTGCTGTGCGCCTCACTCTCTCTCTCCTCCCTTGGTCAGTGCTAAAAATAGCACCTTCATTCCTATCCCTGTGGCTGTAAAGAATCATTTGCAAAATGGATTTTACTGATGTGGTGGGGAGAAAGAAAGAGGAAAGGGGAAGAAGTTGGTATGACAGTGTAAGGAAAAAGAGACGAGAGAAAAACACCCCCCAGATCTGTTATCATTTTCTGTGATTGATAGATAATAAACAGAATGAGATTGACACACTGATTAAATAAGTTCTCAAAGTTACAAAAAAGAACTCGATGGATATTGTTATTAAAAAATACATTTGTTAACATTCTGTTTTCATTCCTGAAATCAAATCAGCAGTTTTATCATTATTATATTATTGTTCCGGTAACCTGCATTGCTCTCTCATGGTTTTATTTATTTATTTATTTTTAATAAGGAAATAAGTAAGTCAATTTATCACTAATTTTAGAGATATAACTCTATTTTTTGACCTTGGTTTACTGAATGTTGTTCTTCTCTTAAGTGGAGAGAGTTGTTTGTACAGCTATATATTGCTCCATCTGCAGGTATACTGAGCCCTCAAAGACCTTTTATCATGTTCACATTGCTGTCATTCAGTGGAAAGGGCAGTAAACTTGTGAGTGTCAATATAACAAACAATGCCACAGTACAGGGTCGATTCCCCACATATGGTGCCTCAAATGTTTACAAGTGCGTATAGACTGAAAAACTCAACATATTCCATAGTAGTCTTTCTCAAGCCAAACTGACTGTATTTTCCTAGTAAATGTATATGCCTGTGAACCTACTGGATACACAGATTGAAATGTGACAAATTTATTGCGCCAAGTCATTTACCTGTTATTGTAGATTGTTGTTCTGTATATTCCACGTTCATTGGGTGAACTGTTGCTGTTATCGGATGATGCTATCAACATCGACTTCATAAGAGGCAGACTGTCCTGTTTCAGCCACAAACATCATGTTCACTCTTAAAAAATGTTTGTCTGACAAGGAAGGGTGTGAGAAAAAGAGAGAGGGAGTGAAAGGGAGGGACATGTCAAGAGGGAGGAGGTTGTTTCGAAGGTGCAGCAGTTTGGAAATCAGCACATTTACAGACCAGCCCTGTTGAATACAATATAATCCCTTCCATTTATCTGACTTCGGGTCAGAGGTCAAATGAGAAGCTTTTCAGTCTGCTTGAATAAATTCACAGCACTCATGGCAGTGTTATTTTAGTATCATTGTGATACTATTAATATTTTGAATATATTTGTAGTTTTTATGTTTTCAGTTTAAATTCAGTTAAAGTTTGAGTAATTCTGTTGTGTGGTTTTTAAATTTGTATTATTTATTATTTATTTATTTATTTGTTAACTATAATAACTCTGACTCAAGGATGGACTGGGCCAGGTGCACCGATACCTAATTTAAAGAAAATGTAAATGTAATTATGCAGGACTTGAACAGATCTCTATGAACGCATGCAATGCCCTCTTAAAGGGATACTCCACTCAAAAATTAAAATTCTCTACTCTCATACCATCATACCATCCTACATGTATATGACTTTCTTTCTTCAGATAAACACAAACAAAGACTTTTAGAAAAATTATCCATCTCTGAGTCCATATATGCAAGTGTACAAGTGTGATGCTTCAAAAACCACACGAAGATAACATGAAAGTAATCTATACATCCACAGTTGATGAATCCTCTGAAGGGAAATAATAGATGTAAGCAGGGACAAAAATTCAGCCCTGGCACTGTAGCCACACCGGCCCACATTACCACACCGACACAGCCCCGGACACACGCATTCACTACTTACATTTGTGTACAGATGGTGAAATAATATAAGCAGTACCATATATGTAACAGATATTTAAAAATTTAATGTATGTGTCTGGCAGACAATGCTTACTACTTTTTAAAGAGCACACGTTTATAACAAATTTATACATACAGTTAAAACAAAAGAAAAAGAATCTGAGGATGCTGTAGAGTCTGTGTGCTGTCTGTTTATGCCATTTGTCTGCTGTTGTCGTTCTCTACAGTATGTTGTTCTTTGTTGTCACTGTCTGTCTGTTGGGTTTTTCCTACCTGTACCACACTCCTCCCTGTCTCTGCTTGGCCTACCGTAGCATCCTTCCTCACAGCACTGGTGTTGAAAGACCAGGGGTCTCTGGCTGTACTGATTCCAGCAACATCCTAGTTAATGAACACAGTATAGGATGTAAACATTACAGCAAAATATTTTCTCACTGACTGCTCTCAACATTGGAATACACATGAATACAAACAAGTAATAATAGCAAAAAAGGGAATAGAATATATAGCAAAAACTATAAATAGTAGCAGCAGTAAATCCTTTTTGATATACAATTATTTGTGAATTAAAGTATGCTGAAGTGTTGCTAGTATGTGCTGCATGTGCATTTGTGTGTGTGTGTGAGTGTGATCTCTCTCTCTCTCTGTGTGTGTGACACAGGCACAGGTTCCTCCTATCCTAAGAGTTAATTAATAGTTAAATAGATCCACATTATTAAGAAACTGGCAGCATCTGTATCAGGGTGTGTCTCTCTCATTGTGTCTTCCTACCTCCATGACACTTGACTCTGCAGTCCACCCTACCTAAGGATTAATTGCATACTGTAAACTTATGTACTGTATGCGTGCTCAATATTTTATTTTAATATTATGACTATCTACATATTCAAAGTAAAGTTCACTACAAATGTCTACAGTACTGTGGCTATTGCTATAGGTTTTTGATGTGTTAGACTATATTGCAAGTAGCCTACATCAGTTTTTACCCTAAATCCCACTTTATCTGCTGATGCAATTCAGTAACAGGCTCGTTAACACTTCAATTAACCAATTATCACGAATCAATGACATTTTAAAATATACTGGGGTTCTATGCTAAGCTTACAACTGTTTAATACAATGTAGGCTACTGTCAAAAAAAAAAACAAAAAAAAAAACCGGTAGCTAACTGGCAGAAGTAGTGTGAAAATGACTTGTGCTCAGTGTTGCCAATTTGGGGATTTTGTCACCAAATTTAGCTACTTTCTCATTGTAGCTGCGACTTTTTTTTATTTTTGCGACAAGGAGCTATTTTAGCTATATTTAAATAAAACTAGCAATTTTTTTTGGAGATTTTTTATTTTTTACTTGGCCACACTCTGCCGTAGGCTCGTGACCGCTCACGTTTGCTCTCAATCATGCCAATGAGTCTGCGCAGTGAACACACCAGTACGCCACGCCTGCCATGACGCACACCACAATTTCATTATAAGCATCAATCAAGATGCCGGAGAAAAAAAATGAACATCTTGTTTTAACCACGGACACAAAAGTTATACCACAATTCATGCACAGTCATGTCAACCAGATACTGAGAGAGAGACAGTGCATCATCATGTCATGTGTGCTGGGATGCAGTATGTTGCACTTACTTTGTAGTAATAGAGTGTGTTGACTGAAATAAGTTTGTATGAATAAAGTTTTTGTTTTTGGAGAATCATAATATCTCTTATCTGTTGTATTTGAGCAGGACAGGGATGCACTTTGGTGACACATAAAAGAAATTCCCAACATTGTGTCTTTCCATCATTTCCATCATGTTTGATGTGCTTGCAGATCACAAGCATTTCCTAATTTCACTTCAGAATTTTTTGTTATATTTAATATTTTGTTATTTTTTTTTATACTGTTATCATTTGTAAAGTATATATATATATATATTTACTTTCCTTTACCTTTACCAAATTGACCTGTATTTACTTTGTTTTCATATTTGGCGACTTTTTGTGAAAAACGGAGACTTTTGAGGGTGGTTCTAGAGATTTTCTGAGGGAGGGGTTTGGCAACACTGCTTGTGCTAGCTGTATTTTCTGTTTTCTTCTTACCTCTGCGGCACTAACTGTCCTCCGCTGCAGCAGCCGAATTTAAACCTTTTGAAAAGAGTTTGGTTAATTTTACGCATTTAGCAGCATCGAACTTAAGCCCTTTTTTTTTTCCTTTCTCAAAGTTTTTCTGCACCACCTTTCCTTTTTCACCGTCCATTATCTAGCTTTTACTGAAAATTAGCTCGTGTTGCACTCTCTCTGATGATGTGCTTGATTTTGACTGAACGGTTCGGTCGGCCCATCTCGGGACCAGGCGGCCGGCCGTGGCCGACTGGGCAAAATGCTTAACATTTATTTATTATTAACATTATTATTATTATAACCATAGAGAAATCGTGCAAGCGATAAATATCCATCCTATGCGCTGTTGGCCCGTAAAAACAATTTTATCTGACCGGCCCACATTAAACAAAATGGTCCGGCCCCTCTGGCATTTGCCAGAATTGCCAGATGGCCAATCCGCCCCTGGGTGTAAGAAAAAATACTAATATTTAAAATTGTTTTAACTAAAGCCATCACCTCAGGCCAAAAACCTAATATTTTCTAAAAAATCTTTGTGTTCATCTGAAGAAAGAAAGTCCATCTGGGATGGTGTGAAAGTGAGTAAAGGATAAGTGAATTTTCATTTTCAGGTGGATTATCCCTTTAACCACCTAAACTTTTAATTAATAATGAAGTAGTTCAAACTGACTGCTTTCATTAACACAGAAAATCAAAACTTCGTTGAAAACCGATGCCACTGGAAATCAGTGCCTCAAAAAAGACACCAATAGACAATGTTTTAGAGGAAGGTGAGCAAAATACAGATGAAAAGTCACATGAGTGGAGGCAGTGCTGTAATTGGCTGATCAATGCAATAATTCACACCTATTATGTTAGCAACTGCTCACAAATAATATGGTCTAAATTGGTCAAACCAATTCAGTTAAAAATGTACCCATTCGGAAATCACTACTCT